TTGTCGGTGTCAATCATCACTATAACGCAATTGTGTTTGCCACTGCAATAATCACTGACGAGACGTCTCAATCTTTCGAGTGGGTGCTACAGAATTTTTTAGAAGCCATGATGAATAAATTACCTATTTCAGTTGTCACTGATGGGGGTAGGCCAATGCATAGGGCTATCAAATTTGTTATCTCTTATGTTAAGCACATATTATGTTCTTGGAACATTTCTCGCAATACACAAGCTAACATTGCTTACCTAAAATTTACGGCATCATTCTCAAAATGCATGGCTTCCTGGTGGACAACCGAGGAATTTGATATTCAATTGTGTTCGGTTGTTTCAGAATTCAACGTCGAAAAGCATCCATGGGCAATTGATAAGGGAAATACTCAGCACTTATGGGCACAAGCATATCTAACTGGTCATTTATTTGCCAATATTCGCTCAACACAAATGTGCGAGTCTATGACTGCTTCACTCGCGATTGCATTGAAACACAAGAAGACATATTTAGATGTTGTTCGTGCAATTAAAGATGAAATTAGTAGAATGCGTATGAACGAGTTGAAAGCGGATTACTTAAGTTCCCAGACGAAGCCCTTCTAGATCATAAAACTGGTCGACCTTAAAGCCATGCTGCTGAGATTTTTACCCGCGAATCTTTTCGTGCATTCCAATATGAACTTCAACGGGAGACATTGTACCAGATTCAGGAAGAGATTCGGTCCTTATTAGATGAATGTCAACATTATATTTTGACAAAGTACACAGAAAAAATAGGAAATTTGAAATTAGTTTTGATTCTTGTATGAAAACCTTAAATTACTCATGCAGAAAATTCGAGACTGTTGGACTTCCGTGTCACCATCAACTTCACATTTTGAAGCACTTGGATTACACATTTTTGCCCGGGACTTTGATTCAAAGTAGCTGGAATACGGATGCGAAGGCTTCTGCACCCAGTTTTGTTGACTTAAATATGCCTCCAGAAGTGATGCAAATGACAAGGTTCGTAGCTCTACGTTCAACGTCAAGTAGGTTTTGCTACATTGCATCAAAGATATACGCGTTTTTCAAAACCATATATGTCACCTTCTGCTTCAAACCATATTTGGAGGCAAGTGTTTTTTAGTTCTTACTCTTAGAGACTTCTGCAACACTTTTGCCTTCATTTCCTACCCCCAAGACGGCTACAGCACATGGGATCCCCAGAGGAAATGAATAATCACCATATTTAGTAATACATTGTTCGACATCAAATTGCTCCATCAAGGATAGACACAATTCCCTCCGAATAGGTCGATCCCTTACTCCTACCAACGATCCAAACCCTATTTCTCTCAGCACATTCAACTGACCCTTCTCCTTAAGGTGTTTAATTAATGAATTCACTCTTTTAATGTTGCACCTTGTCGACACTTCCTACATTATTTAACAATATATAATGTTATAGTTCTTATATATTTTGTATCAACGTATTTACAAGTTTATTGAATACATTTTTTTCATGTGCTTTCCTCTATTCTTTGTATTCTTCACTATCCATCTTTGACTGTGCGATGCAAGGTTCCTTCTCAGCATCACTCATCGAATTTCATTTCTCCAACACATCATTTCTCACTTAATATTAAGCATAAACGTTTCTTAATTAATATATTAATGTTAAATAATACTCAATGTCAATTTCAATTTACATACCGAACCGATGTATTTGCCACATTCCTTTATCCTTTGGCATTCGGTCATACTATCAACATTTAAAATTTGTAATCAATTTAAAGTTATTAAATACTTTAATCCAATTACCATTTCAACAATAATAACAAAAGGATATTGATACTTACTAGAGGTACATATATCAACCATTTGGTTGCTTTCGAATCTCAGCCTCAATTTCAACGTCATCTTCACCACCAACAATTTCAAGTTCTTTTGACTTCATTTTTCCTTCATATATCAGTTTACGCAAATCAAATCAAATACTGGTTACATACACTTTATTCAATGTACAAATATCGATAACTACTCTTGTAGTAAAACGGTTTCCTTCAAAAGAATTTGAATGACCACTACAACAAGTGTGAGCACATTTATACAACCTACAATATCATTTTCTACCTATAATATTATAAACAGGTATCCATATTTATTTTCTACCTATAATATTATATAATCGGCCTCAGATCCTTCTTGGCTTCGATTCAAAATCCCCAAATCAAACCCAAAACTAATCCCTATTTCCTTCAAACGAATGGGAACACTCTATACTCCAAGTATCGGCACATTTATACAACCTATAATATCATTTTCTACCTATAATATTTAATAAAAGTATCGATATTTATATTTTACCTAGAATATCACTTTCTACCTGTAATCGGTCTCAAATGCTTCTTTACTCTAAAACCCCAAACAACACATAAAAACCTATTTTCGATTACTATAATAATAAAAAACTAGGGTTTCGACAACGTACTTTTGGATTCGACTGCAGCAACAAACAAACAAACTTCACTTTAGAAATTCCTTATGAAATGCAGCAACAATTACGCTTCGATTTCAAAAACTCGTCCGTTCTATATATTTTTCATAAGATATTTAACTATGCCCTTTATATTTTCACCGGATATGTTATTTATATTTAATCGATACAACTACCAAAGTGTCGATACTTTTATGCCAGGTGTCGATACTTTTGATAGTATAATTACCTATTTCTTTGAAAGTATCGATAATTTATTACATGTACTTATTAAAGTATTGACACTTTTAATATATACGGTAGCTCTTTACCGATTTTATCATTTCTAGACCGGTTGTGTCATATTTTTACCTGTTATATCGTTATGGATCGATACATTTTTATAAAGTATCGACACTTTATAGGCGCTAAAACTATTTCTCTTTCAAATTCACAAAGTGTCGATAATTATATTAAAGTATTAACACTTTCAATATATCTGGTAGCGCTTTGCGGGTTTTGTCTTTTCGAGACTAGTTTTGTCATATTTTTATTTGTTGTATCGTTATGAATTGATATAGTTTTATAAAATATCGACACTTTATAAGCGCGAAAAATGATTTTCCTTTAAATTACCAAAATGTCGATACTCATGTTAAAGTATTGACATTTTCAATATATCCGGTAGCGTTTTACCAGTTTTGTCATTTCGAGACAGGTTTTGTCATATTAGTATATGTTGAAAACTTTTTTGTATTTCGATATAACAATTTAGTTTAAATGAATTTTAAGATTTTAAAAATGATTTTCTAAATAAATTCGTTTCAATTAATCGAATATCAAATTATTACTCCAAGTCTTTTAAGATCAATTTCAAACCTTACTAAATGTGTAAAATTGTGTTTTATACTTAATATATTTTTGAAACAATTTTCACAAAGTATTTTGAACCAAAATCAAGCCTAAAATCAATTTTTCATAGTGATGCACTAATCCATGCATCGATGCACCATGAATTAAATTGAACATCGAATGCATTTCATGCATCGATGCACATACCATGCACCGATGCACTGAGGATTTTATGAAAACATCGAATGCATTTGATGCATCGATACACCAGCCATGCATCGATGCACTCTGGCTATTTTGAAACATCGAATGCACTTTATGCATCGATGCACTAAGGGTCCAACGGTCAAAATATTTGAATTTTACACTGATGTTCCGATGCACCATGGGTATGCATCGATGCACTGACGCTCCCAACTAATTTTATTAATTGTTTTCACACTTAAACGATTCTATTGACTCCACTAATCATCCCCAACGTTCAGAAGTGATTCAAGGTGTATTTAAACAAGCTTAGAAGCCATTGATAAAGAACAATAAACATCAAGCAACTAGAATCAAGATAGAATCAAAGAAAAAGCATCAAACCTCAAATTTGAGCATTTCAAGCCTATTTTTCATTCAATATTCATTTTGCTTTCAAGAACACTTATTGTGCTCAATCGTATTTATTCTTGAGTGTTCTTTATTTGTTCTAGAATTGTGCAAACATATTTGCCTTGTGAGGTTTTTTCTTGTAAGTTTGCAAATTTGTAATCTTCTCTTTGAGAAAAGAGTGTTCTCAAGAATTGTGGTATATTCTTGAGGGAGTTGTAAGGTTATCTCTTTGGCCTCAAAAGAAAGAACAAATTAGTGAATTTGTTGGAAAATCCTTAGTGTGGATAGCTAAGGTAGTGGACGTAGACTTTGGTTGATAAAGTCAAACCACTCTAAATCGATGTGCAATTACTTTCAATTGTCTGCAAAAGCTTCCACAAATTTTTAATTGCCAATTCACCCCCTGTTGGCCAATTTCGTCAATCGATTAACTCAACAGTATATATTATATCGTTATGGATTGATACATTTTTATAAAGTATCAACACTTTATAAGCGCTAAAACTGATTCTTTTTTAAATTCGCAAAGTGTCGATACTTATATTAAAGTATCGACACTTTCAATATATATGTTAGCTCTATACCGATTTTATCCTTTCGAGACCGATTTTGTCATATTTTTAGCCGTTATATCGTTGTTGATCGATACATTGTTATAAAGTATCGACACTTTATAGGCGCTATTACTTTTCTCTTTTAAATTCACAAAGTGTCGACACAAATTCAAAAAGTATCGACAATTTTAATGTATCCGGTAACGCTTTACCGGCTTTGTCTTTTCGAGACCAGATTTATCATATTTTTACTTATTATATTGATATGAATTTATTCATTTTTATAAAATATTAACACAAACCGACAAGCTAAGTTTGCCGGTTGTCAAATTTTTTAATATTTATTCATGATTTAGACCTACTACGTTATTATTAATCAATATTTACGGTAACTCTAAATCGAATTTATTAAATATATTTTATTATATCGAATAACGTCGTATATTAGTCTGTCTTTTCTGAGACAATTCCGTATTTACTGCCCAAATCTCAATACAGAATAGACGCTGGTCTGATGATGGCCCGACCGGGTTTAAAAAAAATGAGTCAAAATTTCGGCCCGAACCGGCCGTGTACCTTCCATTTATATATGCAATCGCGTTAACCTTCCATTCATACGCCATCGCTCTGTTCCAATTATCTCCATCGACAACAATAAAATCGTCACATTCTCTCTCTCTCTCTCTTTCCTTTCTCCCACTTTTCGTCTCTAGGGTTTCCCCTGTAAGTGAGTACCCTTATTTCCCCTAATTTTTTGTTTTATTTTCTGAATCCATTGAAATTTGTTGAATTCTGGAGCATTTAAAAACTTTGAAGTTGTCAGTTTCCATTTGTTATTATTACTATTGGTTTAATTGATTTCTCGAGATTGCAATTAAACTCAATTGATTGGATTGTTGGTACGAATCATAATTCTGATTAGAATTGGCTTCTGATATTATGAATACGTTTTGTTTATCCTTGAATTGTAAATAATTGGTTTTAATTCCATTGTCTGATCGAACCCTCTCAAGATTATTGGTCCTATTTCTTCTTCTATTTCCTTTAGTTTTCAGTTTTAATTCGTTACATTTACGCAAATTACTCCCTTATCTTAGTCATATTGAAGTTGACAACAATTTCATAGTTAGATTTGTCTTGTACATGGTTAAATGATCTCACTTATCCCAAAATTTCTCCTTTCCTTCTTTAATTTTTGAACCTTTTTTTCCTCTCTTGCATGGATTTTTGGACTGGGGAGTTCTTTGTCCCAATGAAACTCATAAAATTGTGTTTTTTTATGTGCCTTATTGGCATTATGAATTTAAGCACTGTATGTCTGACCAATATGTTTGCATGATGTGTGTGTGTTTTCTTTGGTCTGTTTTAATCACATATGATACTGCATTTACTATTTTCTTGTTAACAGCTTGGTTCGATTAATTGAAAAGATAGTGGTAAAAGCGGAGTATTAAATGGACTAATGAATCCTGAAGATTTTATTTTACTTCATATACGAGCTAACATTTTTTTATTGCAGTGCTAAAGGAAGCTCCGGCTGCATAGCTGCTTGATGCATTTGTAGCAATCTATGGATTTCTTGAATTTTCTCCACCATGACTTGTCAATAAAGATTCTTACATCTTTAGAAGATCCATCTGATCTTGTTCGCTTTGGTGCTGTCTCACGCTCCTGGCAACATTTTGGTGAGCTATAATTATATATACAATATTCTTCCCGTTTGATATTTAAATTTATCCGTAGTAGAAAAATACTGGATTCAACTTTTTTTTTATAAGAATTTCAGGCCTCGTTAAAAACCCCCTTCTTGATTAAAAGAGCTTGTAGAGAAGCTCCTTAATCAGCGGAAGGAAGAAAAGAGTGCCTTAGGATATTATTGAACAAAAGAAATTACATAAGATACAACCTACAAAACACCCCCATGAAAAACATAAATACACCCATAGTGAACAACACTAAATCAGCCAATTCCTTCTTTAGCTAAGACGTCAGCCTCTAAATTGGTTGTCCTATTTACCCGTCTAACAACACCATGTAATACATCAAGCCTACGAACAATATCTTTAACCATAAAAGCATAAACATCAGGACATAATTCCACCTCCTTAACCCAATCCATTGCCACCTTGCTATCACTTTCAATAATCAAACGGTCCTTGAAGCTCTCTCGAAAATCAGCATAGAACACCAACCCCTTCTGAATAGCTTTTAATTCCATATAGGTCGGAGGCCCCGGACCAGCAGTTTCCTTGAAAAAGCCTAAGGTCAACCCTGTGAAATCCTTTAATACTCCTCCTATCCCACTCTTCTTCCAATCTCAAGTAGTAGCTGCGTCAACATTAAGTTTTACAAAACCTTTAGGAGGAGGGGACCAAGGAGAAACAGAAACAATCTGTTTGGCATTAAAAGAACACGAGTCCCCTAAGGAAGGATCTGAAATAAGAGAATCTTTAGGGATTGAAACCTCTTTGTGCTTTGCTAGGAAACAAGAAGCAAGCCTAAACCTTGCTAAGAAGAAATATTCATCCATATCTAACTTCCCCCCCTCAAACACAATTAGATTCCTTATTTTCCAAGTTGTCCAAAGGACGACCCCTGGAATTAAAGACCAAATTGGAGAGTTAGTCTTCATAGCAGCCCAAGCAAGAAGAAAGCTTTTCGCATTATCATGAAAAACAATCTTTATCCTCCAGAAATTCAGAAATTTGTTCCAAATAACCCAAACCATCGAACACGAGAAAAACAAATGTGAGGAAGGCTCATCCTCCAACTTGCAAAGAGAGACATACCACGTCTTCAATACCTTGAACACCTCTTTTAACAAGTTTTGTCTTAACAGCCAGCTTCCCTAAAACAACCTGCCACATAAAAGACTCCACTCTTGGCGGCAAGTCGCCCCTCCAAATAATCTTCTTCCAAAAGTGGATGTCCTCCGAACCCAAAGAATCTGATGAATATAACTTCATACCAGAATTTACAGTGTATACCCCATCCCCAGTACCTTTCCAAATCATCCCATCAGAAATCTCCATTGATAATGAAATAAAGGAAATGACAGCCATCAAATTAGCCCACTGCTCTAATTCCCAGTCATTTAAATTCCTTCGAAATTGCACATCCCAAATCCAGCCCGAAGAGCTATATTCCCCAAATTCGAATAATTTGCCCATTTTATTAGTGGAAATAGAAAACAATCTAGGGAAAATGAGCAAAAGAGGAGAATCCAAAACCCAATTATCATGCCAAAACCGGATTAATCTTCCATCTCCTACTCGAAAACTGCACAAACTTCTAAACTTGGAACCAAAAGTGTCCTCCACAAAGTGATTATATTTCGAACAATAACAGAGAAGAATCCAGATTATATTTCGAACAAATAAATGCCCTCCAAACAGACTCCCTTTCATTGGCATACCTCCAGGACCATTTTTGAAGAAGTGCTCTATTCATGAAATTTAGATTAAGAACACCTAAACCCCCCTCAATCTTTGGTTTGCTCACATTTGGCCCAGAAACCCAATGAATTTTATTTTTACCATTTCCTCCTCCCCATAAGAAATTGGACATAATTGAGTTGAGAGTTTTAAGAACCGAAGTTGGTAACTTAAATAAAGATAAATAATAGGTAGGAAGCGAACATAGAACCGACTTGACCAATACCAATCTTCCTGCTAAAGAAAGGGAAGAAGCCTTCCACTTAGATAATTTTCTGGTAAAATTATTAACCACTAGATTCCATAGAGCTGCTGAATTCCTATTAGCTCCCAAAGGAAGCCCTAGATAGTCAAAGGGAAAACTACCAACTGAACAACCGAAAGTGTTAGCCCAATCCTGAACTTCCTCCTCATTCAAATTAACACCAAACAGTTTACTTTTCTTCATGTTAAGCCATAAACCTGAAATAATACTGGATTCATCTTACTTTTACATTATGGTAAAGCTCTAATGGAGCTTAGCATCACGTGGAATTAATAAGTGGACAATATTCTCTTGCAGTTTGGTTGTTCTGATAATCTGATTTCAGTTTGGTTTTTCATTTGGTCCCTTGTTTTCTTTTTCCATGTTTATCTATTTAAGAAATCTGTATGTTTTAAGCAAAACAGTTTACATTAAAAACAATAGATTATGATCCTCTCAATTCAGTGCAGATATGTTCTACCAATTCAATGAATTTGCTCAAAATCTTCTTTTCAGATATTTCCTTTGATGCCCAAAAGTTTTGATTGATTAGCTAGCTGAATGTTTTTGCTAAATATTCCTGTTTCCTCATCTGTGTGTCTCTATTTTACCACTACTTAACTTAATGAGCTGCTTTATTTGCAATCTGATCTTTTATTCTCATGGTGTGGATTTGGTATACGACTCCCTTTTACATTTAAGTTTTTTGAGCTGACCTAAGAACTTGCTTCAATTATCCGTCTGAGTAACATATGAAGTTAGAAATATAGGAGACTGACACTCATGCCGTTTGTACACTTTATAGTGGTGTGACAATTTATGTGTTCATTATCATATCAATCTTGCATTGCTGGTCTTTGGCTCATTATGCATGACCCGTTTTCTGTCATTGCTGACTTTATGAGTTTTCTATGGTTTGCAGTGATTAAAAATGGTCTATGTAAGCAACTGTGCCTGAGAATGTTTCCTCAATTATCTCGAGTTGATCATGTCAACGAGCTAAGTGGCCCCGCAAGAGGGCATGCTGAAGCTGGATGTAGCAATTTTAATGAATGGGAAGCTTTGAAGAGGGAGCATAGAGTTTATGCTTTTTTAGCTCGAGGTTGTTTGTCGTTTGCTATCAGGGAGTGCATCTCAGAAGCAATCATCGCTTCTAGCACTGATAATTACCCGGAGGAAAGCATAGATAATACCTTGGAACCAAGAGATAGGGTGGCACGAAGAGCTTCTTATTGGTCAAGTAAAGGACAAAAAAACCCTGCAGTGCCCGAAACATTGACATATAGATTATGTGCTGATTTATGTGTTATTACTGAAATCAGTATAAGACCATTCCGAGGTAATTGTTTCAATTTTCTTGTAGCTCAGGTTTCCCTCTTTCATCTGTCTTATTTTATATTAGTTTGAAACTTATAAGATACTTTTTTAATCCAGCTTACTTCCAGTTGGGTAACCCAATTTACTCAGCTAACTCAGTGAGATTTCAGATGGGCCATATCAAGTCCTCTGTGGACAATCTTGTGAGTGAATCTTTCCAGGATTGTGGTAATGAGAAGTTTGTATGGACTTACACCTCTGAAGAGTTTATGATGGCTCAGGTGGGTTCAAGTATCTGGGTCCATTTGGCGTCTATCATTTTTATTGACATTCTCTGTTACTACAATAAATACTAGATTTGATTATTCCGCTAATGTCCATTGCTTATGCTGAATACAAGTGATATATATGATAGTGATACAATACTAAAATGGTTATTTACAGTATCATTTCCGTTTTTTTTTTTGTTTCCATGTTCCAGATGCTTGCTTTGTGAAGTTAATTCTCATATTCTTTTAGTTTTGTAATAACTCATACAGGAACACTGATTACATTGGATTTTTAAATAAGCAGGAAAATAAATTGCAGACTTTCAAGCTTCCGGAACCTGTTCTTTGCATTGGTGGAATTTTACAGATTGAGCTGTTGGGTAGGGTCCAGAAACAGGAAATGGATGGCTTATACTATATATGGTACTTTCAAATGCACACTATATTTAGCTAGTTTGATAGTAACATGTGACAGAGTTAAGAGTAATAGTTTTTTTTTTTGTGAGATTTGTCTTAGGGACCCTTAAATCAATTAGAATGTTCGTCTCTAGGTTTCTTTAGTGATTTTTGGCCATCTTGCTATGCTCTTGTTTTGAATCAATCTGTTGGTTGGCATCATTGCAGTGTCTCTCACGTTGAAGTAATGGGACGTCCATTATCTCCCGCCTTTGGCATTCAGATGCTTGAACCCTCTGAAAAATTTATGCTGGAGGCACGGAGTTATACACCACCACCACCACCCGTACCTGAACAGGCAAGTTCTGCTTCCACTCTGCAGATGCGAGTGAGAGATTTGGAGCAGATTGTGAATTTACTGCGTGAAAATGGGGGAAATTTAGTTGACATCATCGAATATGGGTATGGATGGGATTTACAGGGTGAAGAATCGGACGAGGAAGACATTGACATACAATAAACTTGTACTAGTTTTCATCCCCTTTTGAACTGAGTTGTAGGTCACATGGAAGCTAAAGTTTCCTGCAAGGCTGCAACACTAGTAGTGTGTGGGGCGATTAGCCCCCTTCCGAGTGTTACCTAAACTTTGTCTGGGGCTTTAGTTATTCTGATTTAATATGTTAGTGTTACTAATATTTACTAGCTTTATCGAAGTAGTGTGAGGCTTCCACTCGGGCTGTTCATAGATGGTTAACCGTATCGTTTAGTGTAAACGGTCGGTTTACTATTATGATGGTTATGAGTTTTTTCTAATCGTAATCTAATTGTTAAAAATGGTTAATAACAGTTCGGTTATAAGTTAATCTATGGTTAACCTATTACAATTAGTTGTAAAAAAATTCATAATTCATACTAAATATAGTATTTAGCACATATACCGATGTAAGTGAATAAAATAAAATAAAATGTAGAACTTAATATATGACTACATTGATGTAAGTAAATAAAATGAAAAATGATAGTACGTATCGTATACTTACACCAGTGCAAGTATATATATATATATATATATAAAAGAATTTATACTAAGTTATTTAAGTAAAATTATAATAAATTAAAAATATAATTATAAATTTAATTTATTAACTGCTAATCATTTATTAAATTTGTAACAGGAATTGTAGTCGTTAACCATCAATTTTAACAATTCAATTAATCGAAATCATTAGGACTAACGGTTCAATTAATTAACTTTGTTAAATACAACAAATATACCGGTTAATTATTACAATTTTTTTAACACCCCTAGCTTCTACATCTTCCAACTGCGATGCTGAGGAATGGAGTGACAAGTTTATGATATATATATAGGAATAAAAAATTACTTACATTTTATAAAACCTATTAATTTTATACCTATTTAAAATCATTGGCTGAGTATAAATGGGTGATTGAGATTAAATTTTAATATATTTCAATTATTCATTTTCTACTTGGAAAGTCTCATTATTTGAAGTCGTGTATTTCTATTATCCATCTGCATTCATCTAATAATGTGTGATTATTGCTTGTTGCCCTTGAACCAGACGCGGGTTTCATTTTGTAATTTCGGGACACAACAGGGCACTTGTTAACCCAACTAATCAAATTTGTCATACAGACACCGTATAACATAAACACAACCTTAATTCATGGCTGCGAACAAAGAACAGCAATATGTATTAGTATTATTTTGTTGGGTGCTTGACAGATATGCAAAACAGAAGTGGTGCTACAAAGGAAGAGGATGAGGTCAAGTCACCCAAGGTATACATATTCTTCAAAGCTTACACAAATATGAACTTAAGAACATATGTTCAATGAAATTATTTAAAAGATACTCTAAGCTGCTTGAGCAAAACAGGCTTCCAACTTCAGGGTGTCTTGGACTTGGGTGGTGATGGAAGCAACTGCAACAAAGAGCATAATTTTGTCAGCCTCCAAAGCCAGTAAATCGAACCAAAATTTTTGTATATGTCCTATTCTTGTTACAGGAACAATTGATGTAATGCTGATTTTCTTTTATCTCAGCTGGCATTCATATATGATTGACTGGCTTGTAGAGTTTCTCTATTTCCCTGTTAACCTTTATCTATTCCTCAACAAAACTAGCAATTCCCCATATATATGAATTCACTTCTAGTATCCAACCAACTGGTGGAAAATAAAGATGTGCAATCCAAGACTAGAAATATGAAATCGTATACCTGATAACAGGAGATGAGAGATGTAACGAATCCAAATGCTCCCGTCACTCGTGGAGTGACCTTCTTAGGTGCCAATTGAAGAAGCCCGACTGCTACGACTATATCCATTCCTGCTTTAACAAGGGCCAGAGTCCTCTCATTTGATTTTTGGAGCTTCGCACAATACTCCTCGTTCTGCATTTACATAAGCACGATAAAGTTGGAAACTACAGCAACAAAAGAATCGTAGAGTGCAGAAGAATGATTATAATAACACTTCGGAGAAAACAAGTATTGAGCATACCTTGTACTTGTCACTATTCTTAAGATTCTTTTCCAACTTTTTCATTGATACAGATAGCCTTCCGAGCTCCCCAAGCTGATAAAAAGATGTTATATGTGCCGAAAAGGGAGATATTATAGCTTACTAAACATCTTAAAAATATTGTCGGCAGGGATCTGACCTATAATTAACGAAGAGCAACAAACCTCAACTAAGGTGGTACAGATTGATGAACCCATCCAGCAGAAAAGGGATATTCGTCCAAGCAACTCAGCATGTTCTTTGTTCTGTAAATGGATTTTTTTCGACTTAACACTTGTAAACCAAGACGAACAAGTTAAATAGAATACCAAAATAAAGTGTGTTGCATACCTTATAGATGCCTGATCTGTGAAGCCAGACAACTTGATCGAGAAATAAGAAAGTTGACAACAATGCATTTTTTGACTGAAACAAGCATTAAATTAATCCAAGGGGCGTTAAATTAACTAAGTTGGAAGTGTAGAGAAATTCCATAGGAAATATGAAGTTTATCACACCTTTCCTAACAGAACAAGTGGGAGGGCAGTTCCTTGAGGAACTGGACTAATAAGACCGTGCAAATCGTTGACAAACTGCAAATTCACGATGAAACAAAAATCAAACTATATTTATAATAAAAATAACGGGAGAACTTAAGTTTGCCATCATATGCCTTTTGTAGTACCACGTATTTTTTTCATGTTATCCGAGTTCATTTTACTCATTGCTTATCAGAAACCAAAAAGAGGGGGGGGGGAATCTTCATACTATGCATTAGCTCAGACTGCTCTACTTCCACCAATATAACAGAAAAAGAAATATTATTTATCTAATAAGTGAACAAAGTCAATCCTTGTTCAACATAAGCCAACTAGTTAGTTTTATATTTGACATGGTAAGATCACCTTAAAAAGACGGAACACTTTCCGAGCCAAGCTGGTTGATTTGTCAACATTTTGTGCGGTGCCAGGTTGTCCGTTACTTAAGAATTTCGAGCCATATTGTATGGCCCTGCATATCTTATCCCTTGCTTCAGCCTTATTCAAATACAAAACTATAAGAGCAAGTTCCGCTCTAGTTACATCCAGCGTACTCATCCTTTATCTGCAAAACACCTGCAAAATCTTAATAATTACATTCTCGCACAATCTGAAAGGGCCGATGCAAATGCACGCATGTGATTGTAAGATGCAGGCAGGCTATGTCGCTGCTGAAACAATCAAGTTCTAACTAACGGTATGAATATGCTAAAAAATTTTGCTATCCTTAAATAGCATGAAAAGCTCGAATTAATAGCTTAAACTCAATCTCGGTAAATATCAGTTCACTTAGGCTTTGCTTGATATGAAGGATGGAAATCAAACGGGCTAAGATTCAAACTAAGAAAGTGGTGAATCTAAACCATTCGATTAACAAATTTAACATCGTTCGTTCCGAGCAAAACCTTAACTGTAGAAGATATTCAGTACTAAGAATCAAATTCTCTTCACCAACACTACAGGCTGAAGTCTATTGGCTTGCAAAAGAACATACGAGGAAGCTTTTAGATAGAACGGATAATTAGAAAAATCATAATCGGCTAAGTCTATAGTACTCATCAGTTCAGCTTAGCTTTGGAATTGTATCAATATAATAAACAGGATACCCATAATTTAATTTCAAGGTTCCCTATCAGCCAAGCATACCTGCTAACAATAAAAGAGAGTATAAATTCAATACTTAACCAAATCATCAAAACCCAAACCACCCAAATTGGAAAACACAATAAGAATATTATGAAACAACACAAACTAAAATTCAAAAAAGTACCCAAACCCAAACTTTTAATGTACAGGGATAACTGGAGCCATAAGAACAACATACAGTCAAGCTAAAAGCAAAGATTTATCTTCTTACAGCTAAACACCGATGCGAATCAATCAAAAAAAGTGGGGATTTGGTGAATTGAGCAAGTACCCAGATACAAGGATATAAAAAGAGAGAGAAACTGAACGAAAAAGGTAGCGAAGAAAGTGCCCGATGATATTACCTCGAAATCCACAAAATTTCCCCGCTTTTCTTTAATGGAAATCGTGTTTTTTTAAGGCAGCAAGCAGATTGGAATTTCTGGGTCTCACGTTGTCTCCAGCGTCAGCTCAACGTGTCGTTTCCCGATCCTCTATCTCCGCGTCTGATACAGGCTTGTTCGGTCCAATCTTTTTCGAATGATTTTTAAAAACAATAAAATTGTTTACAGTGCACGTATAATCGATTATTCTTTATATTTTTAATAAATAAAATATGAGTGAAAAATGAATACTGAAATTTATAAAAATAATAAATTAAGTAAATAAAATCATATCATTTTACTTAAAACATGTCAAAAATATATAAATTACTGTTAAAAAATAAAATTTATTCATACAATAAATGATTAGAAATTAATCAAACAATTAAAGAAAAGTCATAATCACAAGTAAACATAATTAATAATGTTGAAATAAAACATCATTCACATGCATTTTATCACATATTAAAAATATGTGGATGACGACATACAAATAAATTAACTTTATAACATCTAAGTCGTTACCTAATATTTTTGTAATTAGAAAAGTTTATATAAAAATAGTTCAAATATTAAAAATAAGAATAAATCAATAAAATAATCTAAAAAGATATAAGGAGATTATGTCAATTCTAATCTTGAGAGAAAAATATATATGTTACAAGATTAGTCAACGAATATATATTATATAATAATAATAATAATAAACAAATAAAATAGAAAATTTGAGGGTAAACTATACCAAAAGTCACGAGTTATGCTTAAATAATTATTTTAATCATTAAATTTCTAAAAGATAAAATAACCATTAAAATTGAATTATTATAAACTGATCACATTAAAATTTTAATATTCAATAATCATTTTTAATTTAACGATTAAAATGATTATTTAAACATAGTTCACGACTTCTAGTGTACTTCACCCAAAATTATACGATTTTAGACGTCACTTCTGAATAATAATTGCAGGAATTATCTGAATAAAGTTCCAAGCAAATGACAATAAAGTTTCAGAACAAACAAAAAGAGATAGAGAAGGAACGAACCAAAACTTCATTCCAGTAAAGAAAAGCAAAACAGAACAATGGGCTCACGTATTTATTGTCATCCATCTTCCTGTTTTGGATGCAACGACAAAACTAAAAAGAAACAAGCAAAACGAAGAACTCAAAAACTCTCAAGCAAACTCCCATTAGTGGTTGCTTTTTCAGGCCCTTCCGAATAGGGTGACTCACGTAATATACAAAATCGTGGCCTCTCCTCTTCCCCCCACCACTATAAACCGCCAGTACTGGCCCTCAACTTCACGCCACACTCCCTTCAATCCCCCCCTTTTTTCTACTCAATCCTCTTCTATGGCTTCCGAGATGTTCGCCGAGGATGAAGCCTCTTGGTGCTGCACTTTTGTGTTGGTGACCCTTCTACTACTCAACTCTTTCGAGGAAACAAACTCTATGACGATGAATGAAGAGGAACATGATGGCAAAGTGATGGGTCGTCGGCTGTTGGAGCGAGCGTGCGATGAAATATATGTCGTCGCAGAGGGAGAAACCCTGCATTCAATAAGTGATAAGTGTGGTGATCCGTTTATAGTGGAGCACAACCCTCATATTCATGACCCCGATGATGTGTTCCCTGGACTTGTCATCAAGATTACTCCTCCGAGCTCTCTTTCTTTGACGTCGTTTAAACGGTAGCTTACTTCATATTTGCCATGGTTGATCATTGGCATGTGTTGAACTTATTATTAGGAATTCCTTCATATTCTCCATTGATTTCATTGTTTTCTTAGGTCAATGGGCGAACCAGTGTGTTTGGTCAAGTAGTTTGCTGTATTGCTGTTTGTAATACTTGAATACCTGCCATGGAACATGCATTAGCCAACAGAAACTAGCAGAAGACGATACAAATTTCATTGCATTTTCATATAACATCTTCAACAATGAAGCTCAAAGGTAAGGGATTAAGAAAAATAAATTTGGGTTATTAGCTCAAGAACTTCGTTACTAATAACCGGAATACAGAATTTTGATCAAATTGGTTGTGGCATACAGAATTTTGACCCAATTGCATTTTCATTAAAAAATTTAGCCTCAAATGCATCATTTTGAGCACAAACAAAATTATTGTTGTTATTAAAAGTCACGAGTTCGAGCACCAACTACTATTAGGGTGATTGAGTGTTTGTTCTCAAATTATTGAGAGTCTACTACTTTGTAATCAACTTTAGTTTAAGAGTATAACTTTGTAATCATCTTTAGTTTAATAAAAAAAAAAGCATCATTTTGAACAAAATTTGCAGATATTCAAGAACCATGATCGTGTGACGCTTTATGTTTACGCGGTATTAGTTTTGATGGCGTCTATCTTCTATTCTTTGGGCCATGATTGTGGGGCTTCAAATACACTTATACATGGGCCTCTTTTCAATAAATAGTTTATCATGAGAAATCAATTTTCTCTCATTATTCCCTTTACTATGCAGAAGTTCGTATCTAGTCCAAATATTTTAATTTGGTTAACTTTGGTCTTATACTTAAATTTTAAAATTTTAATTCTAATTAAATGCTATGGTGATAATATGATTAAATTACAGATTATTAAATGATAAATTAGAGTTGTGCATATTAAAGAAACTAATACTAAAATTTAACTTTACAATTTTAACTACAATATGAATTAGTATTGAAATTTTAAAGTTTAAAAAAGTACATGTAATACATGTACATATTACGAATGATTTTGGATTTTGTGTATGAAATTTAGGTATTGCTATCTTATGTTGTTACGTAGAATTTTTTTGTTGAGAGAGAGAGACTGAGGGAGACCGATAAGATAATTGTCTCCTTGAAAATTTTATGTTTTTGTATAATTTAAATATATTTTTTATTTTCTATTGATAATTTGTTGAGAGAAATTGCCTGATTGATTTTTTCAGCATTGTTTCTGCAGAATTTGTACAGTTTGGTGCCTTTGATTTGTGTTAACGTATGCCCAACGCAGAGATTGTTTAATCTGTGTTAATGTATATCTAGCGAAGGATTTAGAAATATTTTTGCGTGTGAGTATATATACATTAATAAAAACAAAATTTTTATATATAACATGGACACAAATAAAATTTCATGGTAAGAACAACTAATAAAATGAACAACTAATCAAAGAAAATTCAATTTTCAGAGTGCACACATGTCTACCCTAAATGCTATGTACAGCCGTCCACCACAACATAAACCTAATGCATGAATGATGGGATGGACCTCACACTCTCTATAAATTTTACGTTATCTTATATTTTAGATTTTTTTGTATTTTCTCTTGATCATCTAATTTCGTATATCCTAAAATGTTTAATATAATTTCTTAAATTTACATACCTAATATAAATTCCGCTTCAAAATCAAGTTTAGATCCATTGAATATCAATGAATAAAGCTAGACTTGACAATAAAAGAGCAAAAAAAGTACTTTGGCAATTGCCATTCACAAACTTTTGTGTTAATTGAATAGAGGTGGCCAGCAGTTCGGCTTTCTCATAATTGTGTAGAGTTTAAGACTTGGTCCCTGCATGCAATTGATTTGACCAAAGCATTTTCCCAAAAGGCTAACTGAATGAAATGGTCCAAACTATTAAGAGAGAAGAGGCCCCATTGACCCACCACAAAGATTAACTGTCCCTCCTATATTATTATTATTATTTGAAAAGGTCCCTCCTATATTAAATTATCAAAATGGGGTCCCATTGTCATTAGTGGATGTACAGGCTCATGCCCCTCGTTGCAGCCCAAAAGTAAACCAAGTTAAATTTTATCGGCACGAATTATAAAGCATAAATTTAATTTTTATATTTTAAAATTTTAAATTAATGCTAATAATAGAATTTAACTTAGGAAATTTAATAATCATAATTTAAATTAAGACAAAAAAAATAAACTTAGAAAAAGTAAAATAAATAAATTGATAATTTAGATATAATATTCAGACTGATAAAATAATTTTGAAGAAAATATGTGCGGTGATGGGGCACGTACTATGTACACGGACACGGACAGATGGAGCCCACAAAGAATTTTAAAATTCACGTACTTTTTATTTATTTGTTTATTAAAGGAGCACATTGGGAAATGGGGTCCCACCCAATAGAGGGTCCCCATACAAGAGAAGAAGCTAAAAGGGGACCACTTTTATATGGCAACTGGCAAGTGGGCAGTGGCCATACCACCACATTCTGGCCTACCCTCACCACCACCAAAGTATTGGGATCAAATTCCACCCACCTACTCCTTATATTATGCAAGACTTATAGATTTAGTACCTATATTTTCATTTAATCATATTTGATTTCTATATTTTTTTTTTGAAAATTCAATATTGATTAGATACTGCAATGATGATATGATTAAATTATAATGACTTAAAAATAATTAAACTGGAGAAAGATAGATCTACAACTTATAAATGGTATATAACCTAATGGTAAAATATGAATCTGAATATTTTACTGTAACTCTTTGGACCTTATAAAAATTTAATGCATAGACAATGTCTCTAACAAATTTAGTGGAACGAAATCCAAAATCTTATTAAAATTTTGTCTAGTATGTCAGTCTACTAATAGTCATGATGATCATATGACTAACGCACACACTAAATATCATTACAAAAACTAATCAACACGACTAGAACGAGAATTGACATCCATATAACAATCTCTTTTTTCTTCATGACCATGACTCTATGATATAAAACCATTGGTCAATGACTGTTCATTTACCGACAATAATTTTTTACCAAATCAAGAAGAATGAACTTCTCACAGTCGACAAATCTCATTTATTTCATCAACAGATTAGAATATAAAAAATAAATCTATAACTTGAATATAACTGAGGGACTAAAACCAATTTACAAAAAATTGGGATGAGCCTTGGTTTAGTTGGGTCCCTCCTACTCCCATGGTTCATGGTGGTTGCACACCTTCACGGGACTAGTGGAAATGGTGGGTCCCATAAAATACCAGCAACAAGGGGTCTACCTAGATAGACAGACAGACAGATAAATAGAGAGGATCGTATGTGGTAGGGTACCCTATAAGATGAGTAAATATTAGTTGTCGAGCCGTCGGATTTACAGATTGGGGGGGCCAACCTTAGATCTGTTGCCGTACACTACACAGCTTGGATTCGTAGGGATACCCTCTTAGCAGGCGACAACTTGCAATCGATGTTTATATCTTGGTCTGCTTGCTTACCATTTATGCTTTGGAATAAATCCTTTTAATTTCCAGTTATTCCAAAAAGTCATTCAAAAGTTCCTCTAAAAAAAAGTTGGTCTTTACTAATATTCCTAACTTTAAATATCTTGTTTCACTTTAATTACCCTGTTATTAATCACTTTTACACACATTTTTTACCAGTTTCCTGTTCAATAAGAAAGTATTAGTATATGTGGGGATGTGTGGGTCGTTTTAAGCCAACCTGAACCGATCCTAAAATTTCAATCATTCACTCGACCTAATTCAATAAAAAAATATATATTATCCACCAATCTAAATTCGATACGATCTGACCTTAAATAATAAAAATATTATTTTTATTTAATAAAAATAATAATTTAATTAAAAAAATAATATATAGAGGGGTATTATTATAATTATTCCTAAATATATAATGTAAGATTATATATTTTTAGATCGGATCGGATATTTTTCACCCTAAACCGAATCTAACCCGACCGAAACCTTAATTTTTTTTTTATAAAAGAACCCGACTCGATCGGTTCGGAACTCATCTTGTTCGGGTACATGCCCATCCCTAAGTATATGTTATTGACATCTGTTATGAGATACGGTAAAGATAACGGTGAAAAAAATAATACCACAAATCTTTGTGTAAAAAACCTAAACATACCCAAAAATTTAAAATAAATGAGAAAAACTCATTACAATAAATACAATATTTTTATTTCTATGATTGTCTTATTTAAATTACGTTAAATCTCGTTTTTATGTATAATCTATTTCATGTTGATATTTTTTTTTAAAGAAATGTTGAAATTGTTTTAGATTATCTATTTGCTTAAAATTTCTAATAACTTTATTTTAGAGTGGACAAAGCTAATAGTTAGATATTAAAGTGAAAAGTTGATATGATTCAAGAACAAAATGTTAGGTGTAGCGATAAGACACGTTATATTTTTAATAATATATAGTTCAAGTTTAAATTTTAAAGACAATATTATTAAGAGAAAGTTTATAAAATTTTAAATAAATACTCATGAAAGATAACGAAAACACATAAGTTCAAATGCCAAGTAAGCATTCTTTTAATTACCATTTTTCATCCCTTTTTACGAGTGAAATAAATTTAACGAACGGTAACGGTATGGGTATATAGAATAATAGAATCAAGCACACGGCACCCCCCCACAGCTAAACAACCTAAAAGCCTCACACCTTTCTGGTCATTCGTTAGGTTAAAACGTTTAAAAATGTCGTTTCAGATTATAATCTTCAAATAGAGTAAACAAAAATTATAATTATAATTATAAAATTTAGTTTCAGTTGAGAATAATAATTATAATTAATTACAAGTATTGAATAATACAAGTACTCGATTGAAAGTGTTTTGTTTTTCCATTCTATATGGAATGACTCAATTTCATGGGGTGATCTATGTAAGTGAAAAATAAATAAGACCCAGTGAATTTGCAATTTGGATATTCCAAGGCATCACCAACTTTGACCCTCAACAATCGGACAATCTAATAATCCTGCGGGTACGAGACCCACCACGTGTCATCACCTTGTGGGTCCAAGCCTTAACTTTTGATCGGAAAGATCACCATAGACTTTTTTTCATCAAGATATTAAAAAGATCGGTCCGTTTTAGTGAACTAAATTTGTGGTATAATAGTAGATGATTTTTTATTATGATAAACTTTGATTTATATTATATTTTACTCATTTTAGCCTTGAACTCTAATCGTTTGTTTACCAAGATAGGATATTAGATTTTTTTTAAATAATATTAGAGATTTAGATTTTAATTTTATAAATAAAATAAAATAAATTAAATTAAGAGGATCATTTGTATTAAGACCGAGTATTTAATTGAGTAATAATATCGATTTAGTTGAGTTTACAAGAATTATTTTACCGTCAATACTTTATCTGAATTTTGTTTAAGTCAAATTAAATATATTTGTATGTGTTTATTTTTAAATATATTTACAATTGTTTATAATATCATGGTACTAATGTTCAACAATTCTCTCTAGTGTGTGTGTATATATATATATATATATATATAATATTATTTAATAAATTAAATATCATCTAAAATTATGTGATATATCTATAATATTATATTTTTAAGAAGAGAATTTAAGGATAAAATATTAATAAAAACATAAAAATAAATGAATTAGAAAGAATAAAAAATTATAATTAAAAGATTAAGTTAAATAAAATATAAATTAATGAATTAAATTAAAAATATTATTAATGAAAATAAGTCATAATACTAAGATTAATCTCAATATTTATTAAAATAAATATTTTAATTTCTAACTTTTAGTTTTAGGGAAAAAATTAATAAATTATAATTCATACATAAAACGAGTTTTATCTTTCGTTTGAAATTGTTGGAAGTCAGTACAAAAGGACTTCCCCGTGCAAGATGTAACCCATCCTATTTTGTTTTTTTCATCATCTTTATAAAATTCAAAGCATTTTTCCCATTTAGTTTCTCTCCGCTTTGTTTTATCTTTTTACTTACTTTCTGCTTCTTCTTAAAATGAAACCGATGGCTGCAATTCATAAACATGAGGTTAAAGCGGATGGAGAAAGCAGAGCTATTGTTCTCAGCATCAACGGCGGCGAAGAGGCGGCTGCTGCAGCGTCGAAGAATCCCAAAGAAGAGCCTGATATAGAGACAGCTGTAAGCCTGACTCCTATGGCGGTGCACGTGCCGTCTGCTGTTCCCATGCCGCCGGTAACGGAAGCATCCGCCGCGCCGAAACGAGCGTCCACCAAGGATCGTCACACGAAAGTCGAGGGACGTGGCCGGAGGATCCGAATTCCCGCTACTTGCGCGGCTCGGATCTTTCAGTTGACACGAGAATTAGGCCACAAGTCGGACGGAGAAACCATCAGCTGGTTATTGGAGCACGCTGAACCGTCGATAATAGCGGCGACCGGAACCGGTACGGTTCCCGCCATCGCTATGTCGGTGAATGGGACGCTTAAAATCCCGACGACCTCGAACGCTGACCCCGAACCCGGTGGCCTTAGTAGAAAGAAGCACAAAGGAGCCGCTAATAGCGAGTTCGTTGACGTCAACGACGCTGTTTCGGTTTCATCTGGTTTAGCTCCTATACTTATTTCTCAGCAGCAGCAACACGCGGTTCTGCCGCAGGGTTTGGTTCCAATTTGGGCGATACCATCAAACGCCGTCGTTCCAGGCACGTTCTTCATGGTACCATCTATGGCATCCGTGGCCGGACCATCCTCTCAACCTCATATATTCACATTTCCGGCCACCGCTACACCTTTAATTAACATTTCGGCTCGGCCCATATCTTCGTTCGTGTCCGCCATGCAACACGGTGCAACAACAACGCCTAGTCAACTTCAAAGTAATGTAGCGGTCACGAGTTGCACAGCTTCGCTTTCCAAGACGGATAAAACGGCTTCGTTTATGGCACCGAGTTCGAGTTCGAGTTCCACCGCCACCACTACCACAACGACAAGAACTCAGATGCTTCGAGATTTCTCGTTGGAGATTTACGATAAACAAGAGCTCCAATTCATGAGTCGATCTGCAAAGCATTGATTAATAAACCAAAAGTTTTCTTTCTTTATTTTTCACTTTGCTTACTGTGTTTGGGTTTTTTTTCATTGGTGGCTTGGTGCCATCCGCCATGAACAAGCGAAGCTAAAGGCAGAGGAGGAGGACGAGCGCACGTGCTGACGTGAGGGTTGTTTTTCTTTAGAGGTGTGCACGTGTAATGTGGGGTCAGATTAGGCTAAGCGGGTAGGGTCCACATTATGTTTTGTGGGTCAACACTGGAAGCAAAAGGCGCCACGGAGGGGTTTTTGGGGGAGGGGGCCGGTAATCCGTGGACTGTGCATTGCTATAGAGGAAATAATGGGCCAAGCGGGCCACCTCATCGAACCATCATGTGTAGGCACGAGACCCAATAGAGAAGGAGCAAAAAGGAAAAAAAGACTGCAACCTACGGGACCGTTTTTGCATTGTTCCCAAGGAGTAGACGAGTGGTCCCTACGGGGTTAGTTCGGTGGTCCGATCCGGAGAGTGTGTGAGCCAAAAGTTTGGTCCTTCTGGAGTTGTGACACGTGTCGGGGACTTACCTGTTAATGGTAGGAATTCCGTTTCTTTATATATAAAAGAAAAATATTGGACACGTGGGGTCCTTTGTCGGTAGGGTCTACAAGATAACGTGATGGTGAGAAAGAAGATGGAGGAAGAAGAAGATGATGCTGGCAGTGGCATCAGATGCCCTTCCTCCATATTTATCTTTTATTTTCTAAAATCAAATTGTAAAATGTAAATAATTGTTTTCGTTTCAGTGTATAAAGGCTGGACTCAATTTTCCCAAAAAAATGATATTTCATCAATAATATCCAAAATATGAGATTTTTAAAAATATATATATTTGACTTAATAAGTATAAGATATTTATTTTTAATTTTAAAAAATTAGCCCTTTACGCATGTTATATAGAAATCAATGTTCGATTAATAGATTTTTATTGAATGTTAACATGCCTCATTTTAATATTTTATTATTTAAATTAAAAATAAAATTCAATTGATAACACGTTCAAATTTAACAAACAAAAATCAACAATATAATTAACTAAAATTTATTTATTTTTGGTCAAACCACTAGAAAAACTAAATTTATGAATTTCAAATCGAGGGGCTCTTTTAAAAGTAAAAAGCATAGGGACTGAAAGTAGAATTAGACCTGTTGTTTGACGTTAATTTTTTTTTTCTAATACAAAAGTTAAGAAACGACGTTTCTGAAAATATTTCTTTTTAAACCCGGCTTGAGAGCGATTAAAACGTATGGTTAAATTATTATCAAATTTAGGATTGTAAACGAATCGAACGAATAAGAATAAGGTATATTTATATTTGTTCATTTAATTTTAACCGAACAAATGAACTAATGCGAACATAAACGAACGGAAAATTTATTGTTCGTGTTCGTTTGCAAATGAATGTTCATGTTCGTTCATTTAAATAATAAACTAACACAAATAAACGAACATAAACAAACGTAGAACATAAACGAATGTAAACGATCACAATAAATAAACATAAACAATCATAAATAATAATATATATTTTTATTTCCTAATTTTAAGATTATATTATATTTAATTGTTTTGAGTTTTTTATTTATATTTAAAATTATTTGAATTTTAAAATATTTATGAGTATTAGATTAAAATTTATTAGACTTTAATATTTTAAATGAGTCTAGAGAGATTGGATAAATATAAATAAACGCACATAAACGAACGAACATAAACGAATAAACATAAACGAACAAACATAAATGAACATTACCGAACGTTCACAAACGTAAATGAACGAACGACCTCTCTATTCTTGTTTAATAAATGAAAAAACATAAACTAATTTTATATCTAACAGTTCATAAACAGTTCGTTAACGTTAAATTCATTTATAGTCATAAGAGGTGGGTCCAACGGTGACAAGATGTGGGGACAGCTACAGACGATAAAATGCGCAGGTTCCGTCTTTGCTTTGGTGGGCTACAATTGCAGCGAACTGGGTCCGGTCCACACTAGAAAGACAGCCTGGATTTCATCAATGGTAACTCCACGTGTACGGCCATATCAGAGAGTCTGATCAAGTTTCTCTGCGGTCCCCCTCCCTAAGTCCCCAATAGTATAAATTTATAATCGCATAAGACACCATGGACCACCGCTATAGGCCTAATACCACCAAAATAATTGTATAAACCAAATTCAGAGGTGATTTTAAAGCTAACAAAGCCTTGTTTTTCTTCTTGTCTTTCTTCTCTATTTTATGATTTATATTTAAAGTTCGTGATTGTCTCTTTTAATAAGCCCCCGGTTTATTGATAAGAAAAACCCGGATCAATTCTGGTTGAAAAATGAATATAGTTAAGTACAAAATTTGGTCTGGACAATGTCACAATGAACAGGGAAGAATCTATACAATAAAGCGGGCTATAAAACTATAATGTATGCACACATTTCATTTGTAGTTTCAAAACCATATTTGAATCATGGTATTTAGTGGGTAGTATATCAGGTTAAATTGTAAGGTTTTCTTGTATGGCAAGAAATGAGCCGCTAATGTTTCCACCAACATCGGGGAAAGTTTCACATCCAGGAAGGGCTTGATTTTACCCTTTGGATCCACTTCCTCGGCGTACTTTACCTAGTGCCCTCTCATCTCTGCCACTTCCTCCGATGCGAATTGTTTCCAGTTCATCTTACCTATTCGAACTATCCGTCTTACGCAGTCGAGACTCTCTGGTCGAGTGAAGCAGTCCTCGACAACCCCGGTATGTTCCGCCCAGAGTGACATCCTATACCCATAGACCTATAATAAACAGCAAAGAGTTAAGGACACTCTTGGTGGTAGGGGTACGGGGAAGATTGTTTGTGGAAACATGAAACATCTATATTTGTGTTTCTACGATCATTTGGTTCATTTAGTGAACAGGGAAAGCGTACAATAAATATGGATGTAACCGAGAGGTTACCTGTCCGAGTGGACTAGAATGTTTCGCTGCCCATGTATATTGAGGTTGGTAAGCTCCCATCGCAATCTCGGTGTCTCTGGTGCCCTCCAGGGAGCGTTGATTGAAGTTTGCATACCCCACTATTACGTACTCGTCATCCACTATCATACCTTTTGAATGGACATAGATCATAAATCTTCTACTCTTCCGGCCAAGAGACTGGAATGAAAAATCCAGGAACATATATGTTAGCAATGTAGGAACTTTAGGTTTACGCTTGAGTTGTTCAAGCGAAATGGGATCTTGATCTGTTATGTTCTTCATTCAATTCAATCAAACCTAAGATGCTGAACTAGTAAAATATTGTTTTTGGAACATGGTATGGATTACCTCAGGAGTGTTTGCAGACCCAGGACTGTCATTGCCTGGAGGTTGAGATCCATCGTTCTCGCGATTGGCTAGACAGAAGAAATTCAAATAGTCCTCAGGTGAGTAAACACCATCAAAGTCCCGCCTCCACCAAAGCCCTGTAAATAGTCTCGTACATCATTTCCCTTGTTTTGTGCAGCGACAATAGTAACAGTTCAAGGTCAAGGGTCTTTCAGTATCTAGTCTAAAGATCAGAATTCTCCAGTTAAAACAAAAGATGACGATTCTAAGAAAATTTAATGCCAAAGCAATATAAACTAGTTTTAGTGCTCCAATTGAACCAAGATAAATGCCAAAGCAATATAAACTAGTTTTAGTGCTCCAATTGAACCAAGATAAAACACCGGCGAATGAAATCACTGCCACAGTGAGACAGAAACAAGGAACCACATCCTCTTTGAATGCAAGTTCTCTAAGAGCTTTTGGAGAACTATATTGAGGATGTGCAGGATAAATCACAATGTATTCGATTCACAACAGGAGTTGCACTGGGCTTGCACAAAACTAAAGGGTAAGGTCCTAATCACTACCACCCCAACGCTTGCATGGAGTGGTCATGTCTATCCGTTGTGGGAAGAACGTAACAGAAGACAATTCAGAGGACAGCAAAGGACCGAGAATGAGATTTTGCATTCCATTAAGGAAATAGTAAAGATTTGGTGTTGATAGAACTGATAGTGAATTTGTATTTGTTATGGCTTGGAGCATATTTGATTAGAAAGGTTTAGGGGTGTAATTGATAAGATAGTATAGATGAATTAGAGACACTATTGTATGTGTAATTGTAGAAGAATCCTGCTTTTTTGGATAATACAACTAAACACTTATCCAAAAATAAAGCTTCTGTAGGAATTGCTCCGGAACAGACATATCGATGAATTCTCAAAAAAGATAACAATAATACGGTCAAACATTAAAACATTTTAACACCAAGTTTTAAGTCAACTCTACCTGCCAAAATAAAATCCTTTGAGTGGCAGCGCCTGTTGGAACACCCTCTGGCCACATTGGCAAGACAATATAAGCAGCAAACCTCTCTTTTGCTTTAATTTTACTGGCAATCTTAAGCGCAATTTCCATTGGAATTAAGTTGTCAGCACCTGCAGAGAGAATGTAAGGTTTATAGTTCTGAACCAAAACTATGAACAGATGCCTTATGATTCGCAAAAAAAAATCCATAAGACATCCAATACAAGAAATATCAGATGAAACCATGAACAAATAGAGCTAACTAAATACTCTTATTAATTTCTAGTTTTTGAAAGGAAAACTTAGTTATTTTGTATGTCATCCTCTGCCTCTTTCTGTGCTACAATGGCATATGTCTTAGCACATGGACTAGATACATTCATAATCTGACCGATATACTTAACCAGGAAGTTTGCTACATTGATAATCTGATCGATTCAAGAAATATCAGACAAAGTGTGAACAAATAAGACTAACCAAATGCTCTTCTTAATTTTTAGTTTTCAAAAGGAAAACTTGGTTATTTTGTATGTTATTCTCTACCTCGTCCTGTGCTACAATGACATATGCCTTAGCACATGCACTTGATACATTATATTCAACCAGAAAGTTAGGTTCTTGATCATTTTAAAATATTTCTTCAGCATACATCCAAGCATAAGATTTTACCACTTTCTATATTCAAACAAAAATGTTTCAACCAAAATTCACCGAGTACAAGCTGAGTCCATTTATTAACCTTCTCAAACTGCTTATGCAACCAAAGTTGCAATCACAAAGCAACATCCATTATCAACCTTGTTACGTTGGTCACAAACATCACGGTCATCAAAATCTAAGCGCTTTACCTAATCTTTATAAGAGCTCCAATTGAAGGAAGATCCAAGGAAATACTGATTCTCTATATAAATGAAATGCTGGGCAGAGCGAATGGCCTTCACATATGCTGTATGTATGCTCATATCTATAAGGACATTCTTGCCGCACACCAAATTCTGTCACAAACAAATAATCATTCAGCTTCTACCCTGAAAAAAGAAGAATAAGAACAAGAACAAGAACAAGAAGAAGAAGAAGAAGAAGAAGAAGAAAAGTAAATCAACGGCAACCTTCTCTTTACCTTGTTTGTCGCATCTTTGGGATCCTTTGGGAAGCCTTTAACAGAATTTGAATCAATTGAGAGGAAAATCTGCATGTGAAACCCCAAAACAATAAATAAAAACTCCATTTGTCAGAAAACTAAAAAGTAAAAATGAAAGCAGCTTCTGAAAATCACATTGGCCAAGCAAAAT